TATTTTTAAATAAATATATTTTATAATTTTTAAATAATAGGATTATAAATTAAATATATTTTGAATTTTTAAACTTTAATAATAGAGACAATTTATAATTAAAAAGTACCAATTTTTGGGCGTTGTAGGGGTGCTAATCCTTCCCTAAACGTAACCGACCACGAATCCCTTTTTACTATTAAAAAGAATGAATTTTTTGTTATAAAACGCAGATCAGTTCAATTTTTTTTAATTGATGTTTTCTTAAAACTCTTTTAAAAAAAATAATTTTTAGGTATTCGATCTACCTGACCCAAAAGGCCGATGGCGACTCCCAAATTATTTTTCAAAACCATTTATTCACATCAATTTTCCCGCCAAATAAATATTTCGTGCCCGGACGAAAACCGGTTACGACACATGCTATTTACAAGTAGTTGAATAAATGATTAATTGAATCTAAATTTTAATAACATTATTTTTTTTAAAATCTCAAACTTTTCATTTAAAATAATATATAATGAGAGTTCCAAATATGTACATATTTATAAGATCATCAAGGCAAACATTATCACATATCAAACAAAAATCTAACAAATTAATGTACAATAAAATCACATCATATAAATTTTTAGGTCAAATTTGACGGGATTTTTGAAAAGTGATTTTTAAAAGTACGGTAGAATTTTTTTAAAAGTATTATTTAAAAGTACAATTTAAAATTTAACTATTTGAAATTATTGCTAAAAATGAGTTTGAAATGATAAAATGTTCATTATAGATATTATGTTGTAAAGTAAAATATAGAATTTAAATTATATTTACACTTATTAAGACTATGATATATAAAATATTTTTTATTAATGACTCACGGTTAATATTTTAATATATAAACTATGAATTTTATTTACTTTTAAGTAATTAAAATAAATTATTAAGTAATAAATTAATTTTTAATAATGCTTATATTAAATTATTAAAACAAAATGTAAATACATAATTGAGTGGAGGTAAAATTGTAATTTGCTTCCAAAGATAAAGTTAAAAAATGAAAAAACTGCAAATTTTAATTTTTGCGGTTGATTTAAAACGTCGCTTCTACTGTAATTTTTTACCCGTTTGACATTGATTTTAAAATTAAAACGAAATTTTTAGATAAAAATAATTTTAAAAATTCACGTTAAACGAAACCTTAGTCACATCTCATGTGTCTTGTCTCATCTATATTCCACAAACTATTTGTTTTTTAGATTTATAATATAAAATAAGCATGACATTAGTAAGTTTGATCAAATTATTTTTCATTCGTTTTAGAATTAAATTAAACTCTAAATTTTCAAGAAAAAAAATTAAATTTAAAGATTAATTTGACCTAAAAATATTCAAAATTAGCTTGATTAAACTTATTAAATTTAGAAACTCATTTGGCTAAAAATTATTTAAGAATTAATTCGACAAATTTTATCAAATCAATTTAAAAAATGAATATTTTATATTTTATTATCTTTATTAAAATTTGATTATTTAGTTTAAATTATTTTAAAATATTTTAGCTTTAAATCTTTCAAAAAAATTATAATTTTATTTTTACATTTTTTATGTTAAATTTATGTGTTTGTCCTTACTGAGGACAAAAGCTCTTCATGTTCTATCTACATGAGCTAAGACGATAAGAGAAATTTGGGAAGAGATACGAGTAAAGGGGGACAAAGTTTCATGGCACAAATTGATATGGTTTCCTTTCTACATCCCCAAACATAGCATGACTGCTTGAATGACTCTCTTAGATAGACTTCCAACTACGGATAGACTTCAACGTATGGGAATTGTTACTGATGGATTATGTGTCATATGCAATGAAATTTTAGAGACTAGGGACCGTTTGTTCTTATAATGCCCTCTGATTGATTCTCTATGGGAGGCTATACTGCATCTTACGGGCTTGAGGAGACCACCTTTGTCATGGGGGAATATGTTAGATTGGGCTTATGGTGCTTGGAAAGGTAAGTCTATTCTTGCAACAATCTTGAAGCTTGCATGGAGTGCACTTTTTTATTCCATGTGGGAGGAAATAAATAGAAGGTTATTCCGAGTAAGCTCAAGAAATGCCGATGAGATTCTTAAAGCTATTAAGGAGATTGTGGATATACAATTAAGAGAAATAAATATAAATAAACTAGATAGTGTTAATATTACTCTTTGTAATAATTGGAGTATAGATTACTGATATTTTGTTTTGTAAGTAGGTTGTTCTTATGATTTTAGGTTGGTGATTGTTTTTGTAGTATAACTCTGCTTTTTTGGGTAATAAAATTAAATTATCAAAAAAAATTTAAGCATAAAAATTAAATATAACCTTTTAATGTAAAAAATAAAATAAAAAAACTCAATATATTTATATTAAATATATACTACAATAAAACAGGGATATACTGACTTTGTCTTGTCCCTGAATCCATGCGAATGCACTTTTTCAGTACATATAGAATTATTGCACTTCTTCAGGAAAGGAAATTTGCATGGAAAGTTTTAAGTAAAATAAAAACATTTAATATTTCCATTTCGTCATTAAATTTTAATTTTATTGATTAAGTTGTTACATTTATTAATGCTGCAGATATAATAAATATATACTTACTAGTTGATATTATGAGTTAATTTGACAGTGATTTAATTAGAAAACGGTTAATCGTATATTTTAAGTATATTAAACATAATAAAAATGTTTTTATTAACTCATATAATATATAATAAAAAATCTAATATAACGAATAAGAATCAAAATTACACAATAACCACATTAAAAGTACACCATTAATACGGGTATTTAAATTCCTAACTGCTACTGACATTGCGATTGTTGCATTAAAATTTTACTGAAAATGATATACCATTTTTATTTTATAATTTTATGTTTAATACACCTTTAGATGTCTAAATTATACATCAAATTGATTTTTAGTGTCTAAAAAAATTTTCATTAAAAATAGGTGCGTAATATTTTATCTGTTACATTTTTAGGTATCTATCGTTTAAGAAAATGGTTAAGCAACACGTGTCACGTTCAGTTTTTTAAATAACATTTTATTTTAAAAAATATATATATGTGTGTGTCATACGTCACTTAATGGTTTTTTTAAAACACGTAAAAAATTATTTCATTTAATTCCTTTGTTTTTTTTTTCTTTAAATGATTTTGTAATACCTTAAATGAGTTATTGGAACTTAAAGACTATAAAGTATAAAAGGGGGGGGGGACCTTGGATAGGTGGTGGACTGGTGAGGGATCTGTGAATGTTCTCTCCGATGCGGCAGGGCAAGGTAAACCCTTCCCTCTCCCTACACCAAATTTGATTCGATTATTTTAAACGTTAATTTTAAAAAAATATATCTAAATTTGTATATATGTTAAATATATTTTGTCATCAGATTAAATTTTTATATATTATTTTTAAAAGATGAAATCTAATTATTCTAAATTCGGATCCTATTTATACTTATTTTCTGTTGTCAAATTATATTCTCCCTTTTGAAAATAAAAAGAAATCATTTTCCTCCCAGTTTTCCTATGATAATGGCAGCAGTTAAGTTCAACTTTTTGTTCACACCGGAAAAAGGTCAATGAATTCACAAGTTTCCTCCATCATTTCCCTAAAACAAAACCATTTTGACTTGTTCTCATGCAAGACTTTCGTGATACCTTCATACCAATTACCAATCCCATCTTTCATTCATACGTAGATATATACGTATTTGATTCTGTCACGTATACGGTAGAAAAAACCCCAGAATTTAACTAAAAAAATATTATTAGTGGAGTAACAAAGAATTTATCAATAAATTCATGAGTCACCTAGGGGCGGAACTTCGTGGGATTAAGGGGAGTATTGACCCTCGTCAATTATTTTTTAAGTATTAATTAATATTAATATATATATATTTGAAAAATAAATAAATAATTTATCAAGTTCTCTCAATTAAAAAACTATATTTATGAAATATAAAAAGTATTTTAACCCTATAATAATAAATTTCTAATTCCACCTATGGAGTCATGGGTGAGTAAAAAAATTAATTAACTTATTAAGACACCATACTGTAATTACATAGAAATGTAATTTCTGTCTTAATAAGTATACCAGAGTATAATTATTAAAATTTCTAACTATCTAGATATGCTTGGTAAGGACAAAGTAACTGCATCCTAATTTTTAATATCAAATTCGATCATATATATTATAATTATATAATTTAAACTTTAAATAACATTATTCATTATAAAAAACAATCTTAAACCTATGTATTTTATAAACATTTAAGTATTTGGCAATAAAAATATTAATAAAAAAAATATAATTATCAAGATTGGAAAAAGATGTTATATATATTATACAATATATATTTTAGAATTCAAACATGTAATAATAATAATAATAAATTGTAAATTGATGTTATAAAAAATGAGAAAAATAATATATATAACACCTTGATCATGTATATAAAAATAAAAAGGAAGTTGAAATGTTATATATAAAAAAATGGTGTTTTAAGGAAAATTACACATACCTAAAATTCGTAATAATAATAAATAATAATAAATATTAATGTATGGAATAATAATAATATTCATAAAAAATAAAGAGCAAAATTATGTAACATCAATTCTCAATCTGCTTTCAATGGAAGAGTGTAATAGGAGACTTACAATTATATTAAATTTAGAGAGATCCATAAATTGTTATGATTGTCTAAACACATTACAACTACATACTCAAATTGAGCCAAACGAACTCCATGGTTAAAGGAACGATTATTATCCTTAGAAAATCTCGGTTCGAGTACTAATAATTATAGGGTATTTGAGAGTTTATTATTAAATGGTTGAGTTTTTGGAAGAGATACTATCACTTGTAATCACCCATATTAATAAAAAAAAATATGTTTATAGCCTTGTATGCATATGGATAAGTGGAAGTCATAGGATTGCTGGTTAATTTTATTCAAAACTACAAATAGAAAGATTAAAAATAAACTATAGTGTTAATAAAGAAACACTCGAGGCTAATTACATTTTGTTAATACTAAGAGATCCCAAACTTTTCCAGAATCTCAAAAATGGAAATTTTAAACCCTACACAAATAACCCAAACTTTTTTTTATATATATATATTTCCCATCTTTACCCGGATAGAGCTTGAAAATGGAAATTAAGGTAAATATTAAGTAAAAAAAAGAAGAAGAAAAATATTAGAAAATTGAAGATAATTCCATCATTTGATTTATGTCTTCTACTTGACCTGTAGAACTCTCATCCAAAAACCACTTCTCAAGGAACGATAATGGAGGATTGTCGTTATCATTGTCATCATCGTCATTATTATTAAGATTTTTCAGATGACCAGCTTTTGGCTTCTTTTCTGGGTTCAACTTTTCACCATTTCCGGAATCTTGAAGAGTAGCCTTCGAAGTAGAGTTCTCCATTAATGCAACGCTGTTCATGTTTTCGAATGATAGAATCGATTCGAACTGACCGTCTCCATGGGAGATCAAATCACAGTTCGCAGGAGTTGAAGAATAACTCCCAATACTGTCACCGTTAACCTTGGGTGACGATCTCATCCAACCTTGAAGAAGACGGGAAATATTCTCCGTGCTCGAAGCATATGAAGACGAAGAAGGAGAGCTTTGGTTTAGCTTAACATTGCTCGAACCAGATCGAGCGTCGGTACCAAAATCTAAGCTCTTCCTCTCCTCCGAAGCGAGCTCATCGGTAGCCGCCATTGAAGAAGGCTCCAAAGCTGACTGGAACTTCCTTAGTTTTTTCTTCAAGTGAGTGTTCCAATAGTTCTTTATGTCATTATCTGTTCTTTGTGGCAAATACGATGCTATGGCTGCCCATCTATAACCACAACAAACAAACAAACAAACAAACAAAAACGCATATTATTGAAGGAAAAACGATCAAAGCTCGAAATCCGATTTAAAAAAAAGGGGAAAAGATTTGAGAATTACTTGTTACCCAACAATGCTTGCAAATGAACAATCATCCCTTCTTCATGAGGAGTGAAGTTGCCTCTTTTGATTCCTGGTCTGAGATAATTAGTCCATCTAAGTCTGCAACTTTTGCTGCATCTCATCAACCCTAAACAGATTTGGATCAGCCAAACAAAACCATGAAATATTCCATCGAAATCTGAAACAGGTGAAGTGAAAATATATATACCAGTATTGGTGGGGACTGATCTCCAGTTTCCAGGACCATGTTCTTGAATGTAAGAGACGAGGATGATATCTTCTTCAGGAGTCCATGGACCTTTCTTGATACCTACTTTATCACAGCATGGTGGTCTTCCCATGGCTTCCCTTTGCTCCTCCTCCTCTTTCCCTTTGGTTTTCAGTTATGGAGCTTTCAAATAGTGCCATCACCATGTGAGTGGCTTATATAAAGTGGGGGGAGATATTAATAGCATAAATGAGATACTTGTATTTCTAAATTACTTTTAGTTTTACTAAAATAAATAATTTTATTATGTCTTTTCGAGCTTAAGTTTGAGCATCTTAATACTCATCTCAAGTAGTGAGCGAACAGCTTTTTTCTCTCTCTCTCTCTCTTTAATATAGTATTATACTATTTTTCATTTAATATTAAAATTTTAAATTGAACTTGATCTTAAGACCTTTGATTATCATAATATTATCATATATAAAAAACTAAAAATAAAAAAATAACAAGCGGCAACACCTAAAGTAAAAGACATGGACGTTGGAACATGGACGCTTACTTAGACGCTTGGAACATGGACGTTGGTATTAATTCAAGTTGGAGCTTTAGACGCTTACTTAGTTTGAGACTTCAAGCTTTCCCTATTCTAACTTCTGGTGCCCAGAATATTAAGAAAATTTAGCTTTGATTCGGAACAAAGGGGCAAAAGTCACTTGGCACAAGCTGATCTGGTTCCTTCTACATAGTCCTAAGTTTAGTATTATTGCATGGGTGACCTTATTAGACAGGCTCCCAACTAAAGACATGCTGAATCGTTTTGGGTTCGATATCGATGTTAAATGTGTGTTTTGCAAAGACTCGAAGGAAACTAAAGATCACTTATTCATTCAATGTCCTATGGTTATTTCTCTATATGATGCGGTTATGAATCTCAATGGCATGCGAAGAAACTCACTTTCATGGGATAATCACTTAGCTTGGGCTTGTGGTGCTTGGAAAGGTAAATCCTTGCTCACTACCTTTATGAAGTTAGCTTGGACTGCTTATATTTACATTGTTTGGGAGGAGAGGAACAAGAGATTTTTTCAAGACTGCTCAAGAAATTTTGAAGAATTGCTCCATGCTATAAAACAATATGTTGCTATTCAACTAAGGGGTAGAAGTATTAATAGGAATGATAGTGTTAATACTACTGTCGAAACGATTTTTTCTTTTAAGGGTGAGATTTAAAAAACCACATTAATTCTTAATTATCTCTTTTTAATTTAAAAACATATGTGATTTAAAAGATCTCTCGTTTCGAAAAATATTGAATTTCCTTTACGATTGAAAAATACGGTTCGAAGAGTCGCCACCAATATTTGATTAGGGTGTGATTGGGCACCCAAAAATGTTTGCTATTTTAAATAAAAATTAATTTTAATTAAAACAACAAATTAAGGTCTGCGTTACCAAAATCCGAGTTCGGGAGTCGGTTACGTGTAGGGAATGATTAGCACCCCCACAATGCCCTAAATTGGTACCTAGTCGATTAATTAACGTCCTTGCATTGAACTTTACAAATTCGAACTTAATTTGATTTTTGATCCTATAAAACAAAGACGTAAATTTTAAAACATTCAAAAGCACTCAAATAATTTAATTAAAATTACCAAATCGTTTTAGAAAGATAAAGAATGTTCGATTATTTACAAATATCGAGACCAGATCTTAAAGATATAACAACCTTTTCTCGATAAATTTAAATAAACAAACATTTCCTTTTCTCTCATTCCCAAATTTTAGGTGACGAATCAATTTTTTGTTTCATTTTCGTGATACACTTTTAATTTAAAATAATCAAAACGACCCTCTAATCAGTTAAGACATGCCACTCGAAATAATTTTAAATTAAAAGGGTATTACCCTTAGTCCGATTATGTAATAGGTCGAGTTATGCACGTGAGGCTATCATACAAATTATGCAAAAAGTGGATGTCATGCCAAAATTAATTAAACAAAATAAAAAATATTATGCAACGTGACATACAAAAAATTACATACATATATTTTAATTAAGGATTATAAACCATGCATATTAACATACAATGTACAAACGTGACTTAAATATAAAAACAAAAACATAACATGTCAAACTATACATTTTAAAAAGCGTAAACACATATTGAAATATTGGCTAAATTTAAATATATACAAAATTAAACATGTAAAATTCGAAATAAACCCGTGACTTAAATGCACATTCATTGCCAATCTGGGAGGACTAAAACTTAATTATTTCCAAATAAAAACCTATATAAATAACCAACATATATAAAAAAAATGCAAAGCTAATTAATCAAAACACCAAAAAAAACTTAAATAAAATGAAAAGTATGGTAACAGTACCTAAGACATAGGTACACGTGAACTTTTAATAGACATAATCTATATGAACTTATTTTAAGCTAATACATGTGACCTTTTAATAAATATTTAATATATAATCTAACTAAAATAAAAACCTAACCTAATATTACAATAACTACTCATCCACATCACGTTCATCTTCACTCTCAACTCATCTTCTCCTCTCTCCTATATTCGGAAAAACCAGGGACACCACAAATCCTTACCGAAAACACTCAAAACCACACCCCAATCGGACCTAAGCTTCGCCCTTTCCCAACGCTAACCTGGCCATCACCGGTTAACCAAGGCCCTCAAGGCCCCTTTCCATTCTCTCCACTCACCTACGCTCGAAACCTCAGTCGCCATAGACACCTGTCGGCCCCCTAACGGCAACCACACTAAACCCCGACCACTACTGGACTTCAACCAAAGCCAAACGACCACCGTTACTCTCTATCGCTCGAGTCTCTCCATCCTAATGGCTTCAACTCTGGCGACCGACTCCTAGGTAAACACTAAACTCTTCCTTTTAATTTAATTTCAATTGAAAACATACATCTTTGGAAAATCTATTAAACGAAAGTAGAAAATGAAAACTGCTTGAAATCTTTTGCTTTGGTACGATTTCTGTCTCAAGAAATAGAAATGGGAAAGAGTTAGTTATGTTTACAAATCTTGCGTGGTTCTGTCGAAATAGAAATGGGAACAAAGAATAGGGAAACGATTGGTATTGCTTGGTTTTGTATCGCTTCAATAAAAAAACGTGGAAAGGATTCCAATACGAATTAGTGCTATGGATTTTATAAGAACCTAGATAATTTTACAGTCTAATTATTACAGTATAATACAATCCTAAAGTTGATCCCATCTAGTTTCTCCAAATGACACAAACACACATAAAAAAAATTGGAAACAAAAATAAATCCCAGAAGAGTACCTCGAAAATCTTGCAATTCTAATGTTTTCTCTGCTTTTGAATTGTGGGATCACCCTTGTTTTTCTTCTGTATCCCTTTACACTACGTGAAATTGTTGGTAGTTAATCGGGTTTTCTGCTCCTCGTCTTCTCGCGATGGTTAATGTGTTTCTCTGCCAATTCATCTCTCCCGTTCTTTTTTCTGTCCGTGGTCACCGGTTCTTCTTGTGTTTTCCCTTTTTTTTATTATTTTTACCCGTATTTCTCCCTCTGTTTTTAGTGGTTAAGTTCTTTTTAGTAGTTAACCCCTCCACTATCTGATTATATTAACTGCTAAAAACCGACCCCAATTTCTCTCCACTTTTGCATACAGTTGTTGTCCATTGGGCTTGGGATGGGCCTCCAGCTGGTTGGGTTCTTCTTTAGGCCTGCCCTTGCTTCGGGTATGTTCCGACTTAGCCCCGGATAAAAACGAGCATTTATAACTGCCCCTCTTTGCTCATTGTCGTGCAACGAGAATAGAGCAAAGATCAAAAGATGGTCGAGTTTGTCCGGCCATGAGAACTTTAAAAGATTAAACCACTCCACTGTTACTTCGGGATAAATGAGACTTGAAAAATCTTCGAATGATGAGTCCGCTCCCTATTCCTTTAGGGAGTATAAGACTCGAACAATCTTCAGCAAACGTGTCTGCTCCCTATTCATTCAGGGAGTATAAGACTCGAACAATATTCAATAAACGGGTCTGCTCCCTATTCGTTCAGGGAGTATAAAACTCGAACAATCTTCATAAAACGAGTCCGCTCTCTATTCCTTCAGAGAGTATAGAACTCAAACAATCTTCAACGAACTTGTCCGCTCCCTATTCCTTCAGAGAGTATAAGACTCAATCTTCAACAAACGAGTTTGCTTCACTACTCTTCCGTGAAGGCTTATAGATTTAATTGCTTCATTGCTCTTTCGTGAAGGCTTAAAATTGACTTATTTTGAAGGTCAACCCTGAAAATCAAACATTATCAATCATTAACATATGCTTGGAAATATTATATTCAAAAATTTAGAATTTGAGAAAGTTTCTAAAAATTCATCTCCATCATGAAAACTTGTCTGAAAGCCATTGGATATTTGAATCTGCTTTGACTCAATTTTCGTATGAACATCATTCTTGTCAAAATCTCAAGACCAATTATCTTCATCTCGATGCTTCAATATCTTCAATCTTCAACTATCATTGGGAAACCTACAAATGCTTAAGTCATCATGCAATTATGAGTGCCATGATCCTATCCATGCCTAAATGTATGCAAATATGAAATTTGATGCATTTTCTTCTTCGAAGGAACTCTATCTCCTTTTGATCTTGATGGAACTTGGCTTCATCTTGGGCACAAAACATTTGACCAGTTCCCCAGTTAACAATCTCAATATCACATATTTCGGTTTAACAGTACCTTGACTTATTTCTTTCTTAAAACCCGTCAGTACCCATGACTAACTTCTTGATAAATGACAATCTCCTTGGATCATCTTTTAATGGCTGAGATTTTCTATGAACTCCAAGGTTTTAGTTTCCCGGAGCCACACAAGCTTACATGTATAAACCATTGTCAGCTTCAAAAGACCTTTATTTTCCAAAACCTTTTGCACAATAATACAAAATGATCTCATGTACTTCAAGTTAAGCTATATGTTTTAACACTTCAAAATAAGATGCTTGCCAAAGGGAAATTAACAAGAAAAGACATCTCTTTATTTATATAATGCAGAGAATTTTCAGGTAACTACATGGCAAACTTTTAACTGGAAAAAATAAAAGAACAAAAGAGTAGGCGTCTTCAAATATCAATAATGCAAATGCTTTTGAACTGG